TAAATTTACCGGTTCACTTAGTTCAATTTATATTTAACTTTTTCATTTTGCTTTTGGGTGATATAAAAAAGTCGTCATGGCCTAAAGAATGGCCATTGTATGGTCACCCAATATGATTTGGCTTGGTATTAAGTATTGGTTTGCAGGGATCCATTGAACAAGAATGTAGAAGCTCACCTTGAATCATGAGGTCGAAATCTTAATTGTACTTTATAAAGACTGCCCCACGCTTCAAACTGAAATGCCCACAAAATGTCCTACCACTAGCTATAAATTGATAGAGGTGAGTTGATTCCTCAGCAAATTCTTCTTAAAGCTTAAATATACAATTTTAAGTTTTTAATTGGGCAGTTTGGTAGCTCCTAATTTGCACACTTAATAAAGCCATTATCACTTAGTCACAATTTACTACCATCAAATATATTGTAATGTATTCTGAGACGATTGCATCATCTATCTATTTATACTTATGTATCTATATAACGATCTATATGTATGTATGTATGTTCTCTACAAATTTCGATACGATTTGATACGATTTCGATGGCATTTTTACGAAGTCTTCATATTGGCCCAGCGTGTGATCTTGTAGAGTTTGGTAACGATGTAATTTTAGTGAAATCAAAGATCGCCCAGTAAAGAGGCCCGTATTTTACTAGTACATTGTGAACAATAATAGATGCTTTCAGATCTCTTAATTTCATTTAACGTTGCCACGAATTATATCTTGAAGTCGAAACACGTGTTTGATGTGTCAGGTGTTTAGTGAAACAGTGGGCGGTACTGGCGTTGTGCGTGAAATATGTAATTGTTTTGTAATATCAGCTAGTTCTATTTTTTGTTATATGTGGGTGTTTAACGCTTCGAGTAAGAGAATAATTGACGGAGAATAAGTTCAGCGAAATGTGTCAAACTCATAGACTAACATAGAACAAAAATAAAAGCTCTGAAAATTGAATTCTATTTTCTTGAAGGTAGGTTTTTTTTCCACATGAGAAAATCGCCGGATCCCCCACCCGCGCGGCAGGTGGAGTATGCAGGAGTTGAACCTCACTAAAAACTCCTGCTGCTCACAACCGGCGCCCTACCTCGGACCGGGCCGAAGCCCAGTCGGGGCTATTGAGACGGCGGGACAGGGTCGACGCAGAGCACACTATATCCATCCCGCAGTCCCACAGACGCCGGACCGGCGGCCGCCAGCGTCACGACCACCGGTTCCCTCGGTTAGCGAGACGAGAGCTCACCTTGATGGCGCCGCGTTACACCTTCCCCCAGAGCGGTCGGGGGAACGCGGTCTACCATCACCCGGCTTCCTACTGCGGGTGAGCGTGCAAAGCACGCCACCCCACGTCTGGGTCTCTCTCCGCACAAAACGGTTGGGACCCCAAGATCTTAGGGGGCCCGGTCACGGATACGACCCCGGTCCCGACCCCCTGCTCGGCGGCGGCGGGTTTCTGCGTAGTGAGGAAAGCTTTGCCTCACTCGCCCCGCCGCCTCCTTCTGCGAGATTTCAAAGTAGTTTTCTAGTTAATATATTATACTATGATTAAAACACAGTACAGTAAAGCAATACCTGATATTCACGAATAAAACACGCGGCCACCTCATTGATGGTAGCGTTTTATTGCAAGTATTATTAAAATAGAAAAGGTTATTGCAGTAGAGTATTGAATGTAATTAGGGTAGTTAACTTTTAAACATAAAACAATACATATCTTACAATAACCAACATATTAATTTGTTGAATATTATTGCAATAATATCATACAAACATACTATAATTATTTTGTTTGGATTAGTAGTAAAGTTATGTTTTGGGTTTAAGCTTTTTTGTTATTTTTAACATACGTGGATGAACGAACTCATGGCTTACCTAGTGTTAAGTGACAACTGGAGTACATAGAGAGTATTACGTGATTGCTACAACCCATATTGAGTGATGAAGCAAAACTACCATCTTTGAAATCGGAATGCATGGCTGCTTCACGGCGAATGGTGGTACCTACAAGCTGATAATACACGTATATATGGGCGCAAACGCCACTGTTGGCAATAATTAACATAATAATGTATAGTTTAGTTTATTCTATATTAATATTTATTTATTATTAGCAACAAAACTGTTATTCTACCATATTTAATCATTAGCAGACACTGTTTTGATGTGAAAATGTTCAGAATATGTTTAATGTTTATATTATTGTTTAAAAACACAAATGATTATAAAATAATTAAATATGAATAAAGCATAAATATTAATAATAATTTATATTATAATTAACAGTACTAACAATTTAATTAAGTATTGTAATTGTTATGCAATGATGTTGTTGGCGCCATCTATTATTAGGCTGGATAATAACAATGTTAGTTAATATTACTTATAAGTAATTCATGTAAAATAAATTAAATGTGAGTCATGTAAAATCACTAAAATATGTATTTTGAATATTAACCTATGTCTTGTGAATTGTTTCGCAGTAATTACATTTGTTTGTATAAAAGAAGTTGTAGTTGCTATAACCATCACAAAATGGCTAATTGTGTAAAAACCACTGAATAACTCAGGCGTGGCTTTTTGTTGTAAACAAGTAATGTTAAAGTTTTATAGAATTGTATTGTATTTTCATTGTAAAAGAACTTATGTGTGTAAATCCTGGCTTAACGCCGACATATACGTACCAGTAAAGCTGCTAATTTATTCTTGTTTCGGCTTCACCAACGTTATTTTTGTAATACAATCTGTATTAATTGTAGTCTACGATTATTTAGGATCTAAACTGTAAGACCTGTTTACTGGTGGTAGGACCTCTTGTGAGTCCGCACGGGTAGGTACCACCACCCTGTCTACTTAGTCTGGCCATAAATACTGTTACAAAGGAAAACAATTTTTTTTTTATCACAAATAACATTTATTACTTTTACAGTGTGTTCGTTTAATACATAAATATAAAACAATTTAAAGTGTAAAAAACTTATTCGAAGTGGTCTCCATTGGCTGCAATACAGTCCTTTAAACGTTGAGGCCAGTTATCGATAGAAGCACGCACTCTTTCCATGGGAAAAATGTTCACTGCCAATCGTACGGATTGTTTTAGGGACTCCAAATTATCATGGCATTTAGAGCAAGCCGTACTCTCTAAAACTGACCATTTTTGTCAGGAGGAAATCGCCAGACTTCCGCCCTTCACTGGGGATGGAGGGCGGGGCATGTCGGAGTCGAACCGACTAAAATCTCCTGTCTCTCAACAACCAACGTCCAAACCTCGCATGAGACAAAACTCATGAAAAGGCAAAGGGGGGAAAGTGAGGCGTTTAGTGCGGAGCACATCTCTCCCGTCACCCTTCCCCTCGGGACGCCGAACCGGCGGTCGTCGGTGCCACGACCACCAGCCCTCTCGGTCGGCAGGCTATCCGAAGTCCGCCAAAACTGACCATAAATCAAAATCCAGCGGATTAAGATCGGGACTAGACGACGGCCAGTCTTCAGCTCTGATGAAGTCCGAAACGTTCGTTTTCAACCAAGAGTGCGTAGACCGAGCTTTATGACCTGGCGCCGAGTCCAGGACCATTCTCGATTATTGAACATGGTGTTGTTAAGGGGCTTCACTACCTTTCCAAGAATGGTATCTTGATACACTTGTGCCGATGTTGTCATACCTTTTTCACAAAAGTATGGCTCAGTCACTCCTTCATAGCTAATACCCCACCAAACCATCACTGAAGTCGGATAGTGCCCACGTTGCACTCTGTCGACTTATTGGGAAGCTTCCTAAGAGCTTTGAGCTTAAATACGGTCATTTTGTTTGTTAAAATGTTGCTCAATTGTAAAAAATTTCTCATCCGTAAACAAATTTTTTCTATGACCTCCCTTTGCGTACCGCTTCAGTAGTTGTTTCGATTTTACCACCCTATTCTCTTTTAAATGATCAGTTAAGAAATGAACAGTACGTCTCTTATAGGCTGCAAGTCCTAAGTCATCTTTTAATACTCGACGACTCGATAAATACTCGACATAGTTCTAGGTGCTATCTTCATCTCCCGAGATAAAATCTTTTGCTTTCGGACAGGATTTTTTCGAATTCTTTCTCTTACTGCTTTGACCACCTTTTTCGTACGAACACTACGTGGACGGCCAGATCTTTTTCTGTCACGAACAGAGGAGGTCTCACTGCACCTATTAATAGCCCGGTACACAAACATTTTACTAATACCAAGCGTATGGAGAGTTTTAAAAATTGCATTTGGCTCCATACCTACTTTGTGTAATGCAATCACAGCGATTCGGTTCTCTTTATCACCCCACTCCATTTTAATATCGCAAAATATTGTACAATGTATTGGCGCCAAATTGAGAAAACTCAATGAGCAATCATATAAAAATGACAGATTCCAAATTCAAATGTAATATTTTGTTTATTTTTAATTGTAACAGTATTTATGGCCAGACTAAGTATTTCTGCCGTGAAGCAGTAATGCGTTTCGGTTTGAAGGGTAGGGCAGCCGTTGTAACTGTACTGAGACCTTAGAGCTCATATCTCATGATGGGTTGCGGCATTTACGTTATAGATGTCTATGGGCTCCGGTAACCACTTAACACCAGGCGGGCTGTGAGCTTGTCCACCCATCTATGCAATAAAAAATAAAAAATAAAAGACGTTTTTGGTTCAAATACAAAGCTGTCACTGAATTTATTTCAATTGGAATATATCTGTGTCGATTTTTCCTTTCGAAATTTGCGCAATATACAATTCCCATAGACACAGCCCACTGAGTTTCTCGCCGAATCTTCTCAGTGGGTCGCGTTTCCGATACGGTGGTAGATTCTGCGAAGCAACGTTGCTAGCAACCAGTGTTAGCAACGCCTCCTGGTTTGAATCCTGAGAGCTCACCTATACGCTAGGGTTAAGCTGACATAGCCTCTCAAGGCTATCAGCTTGGGTAGAAAAAAAAACCTATTTAATTATTTTAGCAATTCCTTAAAATAGCAAGTTATAATAATGATACTGAACAATGATTACTTATGGTAAATATACAAGCGACTAAAGAGCTTAGTTTTGATACCTTCCTAATAGGTGATCGAACGATTTTTAATGCGAGAACATGTGCGGATGTGCGTAATAATGTTTAGTATCCGTCTATATATAACTGTCTATAATCTATATATACTTTTGATATTACTCTAGTGGGTGTACAAGCTCATGGACCATCTACGGATAAGTGGTTACTGGAGCCTATCTTCTTCGTCGTTCCCTCATTATTAAGGATCGCGACTACATGTATGTAAGTCTCGGTCATGTCGTCATGAAAATCGGTCCGCTATGAAGCCGCGTCTTGGATGTTGCGTTCAACTGACCTCTTTTTTTTTATTTTTTTTATTGCTTAGATGCGTGGACAAGCCCACAGCCCACCCGGTGTTAAGTGGTTACTGGAGCCCATAGACATCTACAACGTAAATGCGCCACCCATCTTGAGATATAAGTTCTAAGGTCTCAAGTATAGTTACAACTATCCGATTTTGTTGGTGTCCTACCTTTGCCTACAGGAATCACAAAAATCATTCTGCCATGAACCTTAAAACATGAGGTCAAAGTCTCATTTGTACTTAAGCCTTTCTTTGTAGCTCAGATTTACCGTCCACCTGGTGCTTAATATCAGAGGCCCTATACATCACAACGTTCATACCACATCCTTGACACATCAGGTCGTATCTTAGATTGTAGATATTGCACTACGGCTGTTCCTTTAGATTGGATACATGACTGGGTCGCCAAGTACATGAGCAGGATCATGGTATCTACTCGTGTGAGCTCACAATACGTTCATAGCTAAAATGCAAGTTTGTTAGTTTTTCGATTTTTTATTTTTCAATCACACCTTAGTCCTGGTTTATTGTGGAAGCCGTTGATGACCATATGTTAAGACCATATGTTAAGGTTATGACTTAAAACATTACATACCTGCTAACGATTTGAACACTGTCATTGTCACGTTACTCCATACGAGAACATGGTATAATAAATAAGTTATCAGGATGAAAACTTACTTATGCTCTTATTGTATTACGCGGTTTCAATCTTAGATTTACGTGTAAACATAATTAGCTCATGTGAAACGATCCCGTCGATGGGATCTGACACGTGGAAGGAAATTTCCTTGTTTCTTGGTTGTAGATAACATAAATATAACTTTAAATTAATTCGGTCGGTTCGCTGAAGTTACAAGATATGCTTAAGTTGTTATTCCGCAGAATATGATGAACTTACAAGCAGCTAATACGATAATAAGATTTTTAAAAAGATGTTTAAAAAATCATGAAGATGTACTTCAACGTATAGCAAAGAAGATAAGTATACTCGAAGTAGAAGTGTAACCACCTGTCCTGGTAAGACTGGAAAGGCCGTCGAGCCACCAATAGTATGTCCTTTCTTATTTTACTGCCCTTGTAGGCGGTAGCGCATACGGCCTTATGATGGTAAATGTTTATCGTCGCCCATGGACTTCAGTAATAAAAGGGCCAGAGACAAGCCGCTGTCTATCGTTTCTAAAAAAAATAAAATAAAAGCAGAAGTGTAACCTTCCGAAGAATATGTTCGTCTCTTTTTAGTGCTCTGTGGCATTTTTTAAACGCATTAGCAACGTAAATGCCTCCATCCGTCTTGGGACACGATTCCTAAGTCTATGGTAGTCTATATAGTATTTTAAAATACAATTACTGCCTACCCTTCAAACAGAAAGGCATTACTGCTTCATATCAGGAATAGGAAATGTAGCGGTGCTTGTAGGCGCTGGTTCGCAAAATTAACTTCCACCTGTATCAATCATAAAATTACAGTAGCACTACACAACCACAGTGGTATACAAGAAGTTTTCACTTCAAAAAATAAGTATGGCTTGATTTTAATAATAAAATTGTAATCTAGGAATAATTACAACGCATTTATTTAATAACATGCGTTACGATAAGGAAAATATGTAGGTATTTATACCCTCATCACGGTCTATGTATTATTAATTTAAAAAACAAAGGTCTCAATGAAAACACCATTAAGAAAATCTTAAAACGTTTATCGTAAAATTCTCCTGAACAGCACTCAATGTTTTTGACGTTAACAAAATAAGAATAAAGATTTGATAAAAAAATATTTCGTTTAGCGTTTAGCTTGACGTTTTTTAATGTCTTCATTTATTTTTGTTTTAGCGCGAACACATCACAGGACGATGAAGCCGACTGGGCAGGGAATTCAACGCTGGACGAATACATCGCGCAAAACAGTACTAGCGATGCATACGGTACGTTATTTGGGTAATTAGCGCGTCGTAAAACGTAGATTAATGTAATAAAAATAACAACAGGGTGTGACTGTTTAATTGATGGAGGTTTTTGTATTGTGAATATTAGGATTGATGATGAAGTACATCCCGTGGATGGAAGCTACCAATGTGCCAATTTCAATTTCAGAAACATTCTGATTTAGAGAAAAAAATCAATGCCTTTCATAATAATATATATGTATATTATATATATTTTATCAGATGGATCTATGAGTTTACGATCAAATGTTATGTGATTACGAGAGTTTTTTTTTATTGCTTAGATGGGTGGACGAGCGGACGAGCTCACAGCCCACCCGGTGCCAAGTGGTTACTGGAGCCCATAGACATCTACGACGTAAATACGCCACCCACCTTGAGATATCAGTTCTAAAGTCTCAGTATAGTTACAACGGCTGCCCCGCCCTTCAAACCGAAACGCATTACTGCTTCACGGCAGAAATAAGCAGGGTGGTGGTACCTACCCGCGCGGACTCACGAGAGAGCCTACCACCAGTACTCACGAGAGGTCCTACCACCAGGCACTACAATAGGCACCACAATGTAAATACTGTTCATCTTGATAGATAAATTCGAAGTTCTAAATATATTAAAAGAAATCATGGTGTTAGCTCTGATCGGCACAGGCTCACAACACAGCCTAAAGTCAATTTGGCTTTATTTTTATAACACGATGCAACTCCTTATCTGTAGCAGTCTTGAATGAAATACCTATGCCTTAAACATCGATAAACATCTTTATCATTGGGATCTTATCTCTTATTCAGTTTGTTGTGAAACACATAAAAGGGACTGCAAAACTTAGGGGAAAAGTACTTTTTTTTCTGTTTCAGATACTTTATATGATGTCCCAACGGGTGTAATAGTACTGCTGTCTTTCTTGTACGGCTCCATATCAGTGTTGGCAGTCGTCGGTAACTTCCTTGTGATGTGGGTTGTCGCCACGTCGCGTCGAATGCAAAGTGTCACAAACTGCTATATAGCTAACTTAGCACTAGCTGACATCGTAATAGGATTATTTGCCATACCATTCCAAGTAAGTGCCCATAAATACTTATCTCGTTAACGTAAAAGGCGATACATTTAAGGGAACTGCGAACTGTATAAGTTTTCGGTCGGCTGACTTCTTATCAACATTTCTCTTATCACCGTACCCCAGGCACAGAACGAATTTCTTTAACACCCGACTTCGTGTGTTTGTTTTTGTTTCGTTTTATTACAATAAACGCTGAGCTAGTCGTAAATCAGCGGATGAAATTTGTATAAGCCCTAATTCACATTCTCAAATAATTCACGTTGAAATTCTTGTGTTATACATAAATCACTCCACTCCGTTTTACGCATGAACTCTAAGCCATTTTATGCTACATTGAAAAAAACATCGTATGATCTCCAGTTCGCCGGATAGGAAATCCGATCGACTGTTATATGTGAAGTTGGATTTTAAATTGCTTTTCACCTCCAGTTTTAGGAACGTAAATTTAGTTTCAGACATTTTTACGTGGGCGTCTGAATAAACGTTAGCTTTTAAAAGCTCACGAACATCTTATTAAATTAATGATATTAAAGTATTAAACGATCTTCAAAATTAATTAAAAACTATAAACTTTTTGTCCCGGTAAATATATTTAAGCTAAAGTTAAAACGATCAGTCTGGAATTTTAAAAATGATTGTGCAAATCTGAGAAATCTATATTAATTTTTACTATGAGCCTTCAGAATTATTCTTTTAAATCAAAGTAATCAAATTAGTCAAACTGCTCAGTAAGCGACTGTATTACAGACATGAGATATTCCAACATCGTTTCGTCCAAAAATGTCAAATTAGTCTCATGATAAAAATGGGTAGTCAATAAGATATCTAAATAATAACACGACGCAAGACAGCAGCCAAAATTCAACTAAGCAGCCAGAATTACAGTATATTTTAGACCGATAAGTCGGTCATCATTTATGATTCTTATCTGCGTACGTTATTTGTCCTAAACATTACTATTGCCATTCTCGATATTGCTTCGGTTTTAGCGTAATAACGTTTATATAATTTGTCAACATGATTGAATGTAATTTTATTGTGGTCTTTATGTTAAACGTTATAGTGACTATAACAACATATACTTTTGAATTTGCACAAACTATTCGGGCACGGTAAACGAGAATGAGAAATTCACAGAATCACCTCGTGATCACAACTTTTGCGTATTTTGTTTTATGACTTTCAATAAAGTTTAATACGAAGCATTACATAGATAATAGGAAACATGAAATTTATTACTTTTTAATCAATTTGAATATTTTAATCTAAATTGTATAGAGTTTTCAATAGGGACGCTCGATGTTTTACAGCTCATAGCGGCCATCTTGGTAAAGCGATAGCTGTCAAATTTGGCATGAACACATATTTAGTCGTGACATTTCACCATGAAACGCTACACGCTTGTCCGGCGTTATATCGGCCGTTATTTCTTCGAAAACGCGGAAGGATCCGCTTTTTTTTTCCTCTGCTGATAGGCTTGAGAGGCTATTTCAGCGTAACCTTAGCTAGTAGGTGAGCTCACGGGGCTCATTCCGGAAGCTTTGCTAACACTGGCCTTAGCAAGAGCAGAGCTTTGCAGAATCTACCGCCAGATCAGAAACGCGACCCACTGATTAGATCCGGCGAGAAACTCAGTGGGCTGTGTCTGTAGGCTAATTCGCTCGTGGAGCCCTTCGTCGCGAGCGGCGGGTTCGACGAGGACGGTGACCGGTGCTTGTGGTACCTAAAAGTACCGTTAATGGATCGGAAGGATCCATAATGACGTGTTTTGGGTGACTTCGACTATTTACCATTCAGTCTACAGGTTCGGGTATGTAATTTCCAGCGGCCACGACAAGAGGGTTCTCATGTCGTGCCGCCTTGTCAAAATGGTGCAAAAGATTCGCGCTCACCGTCAGTGGCGACCGATATCGAAAGATGATAACAAACTTTTTGTGGCCTAGGATAGATGGTATGGATCTCACAAACTTGTGGTTCTAACAGGAAGGCCCCACTTGCCATACATCACGGGAAACATTACATTTATTGGATGAGAGATGATGAGAAGAGATGAGGACGATGAGAGAGATGGTTCAGCAGGATCCCAACTAAAGCGAAGTCGCGGCGGCCATTTGGCTGAAATTATATTCCATACATAATGTCTATTACTAAAATTGTGAACTTACGAAAAAAGTAGTAGTTTATTTTTCGAAAACAGAAAACAATTTGAAATCAATGAATAATGAATAATTCTTACTAAAACTTCTAAGAGTAAGCCACCTTTTTAGCTTTTAAAAGGTCGTTAAACTCCATTATATGTATTACGAGTATTTAAGTAAAATTATTTCTTTTTAATTTGTTCGTATTAGGGCCGGACAAAACTTTTAATGAACTTATGAAAAAAACTCCTTGTAAAAGTTCTAGGTGTACAGTTTTTCAGTATTGTACGACGATTTAAAAATTTTGTCTTCACATGTTTCGGTTTTAAAACAGTCGTTATATATAATTTTATGACACCTAGGAGCCTTTGTTTGATTCTACTATGAGAATGATTTTGAGCAAAACGATTAATCACTGACGCACGTTAATGTTAGTATAAGTTGAAAAACAAACTCAGGACGGCGGTAACGATGACTTTATAATAATCTCAAAATGTTCTTCCATGTTTGAGAAACAAACATAATACTGTTGTTATATAAGCTGATATACTGATGCGATAGTGTATTCATGTAAAATTAGTGCTAAAGTTGTTTTTTTTACCAACTTTCGCGTTACTAACTAGTCAGGTCATAAGTATTGTCACACAGTAAAAACTTTTCTTTTAGAATGCTGGCCACAAAAAAGCTTATTGAATTCGAATTTCGAATTGTTCATGAAAATAAAAATGTATACTTTTAGAATTTTACTCATTTTTAAATATGGAGTGGACGCTTAAAGAAGACCGTGTTGCAGTTATTGCGTTGCATCGTTGCGGTTACGCGCCAATTCAAATTTTTAACATACTGAAAAATTTGAATATAACCAAAAGATTCGTTTATCGTACCATCAAACGATACAATGAAGACTCTAGTGTAGATGACAGGTCAAGAAGTGGTCGCCCTCGGTCTGTTAGGACTCCAGCAGTGATAAAAGCTGTGAAGGCGCGAATTCAAAGAAATCCCAAACGTAAGCAGAAACTGTTGGCCCTTCAGATGGGGTTAAGCAGAACCACGGTGAAAAGGGTGTTAAATGAAGACTTAGGACTTCGGCCATATCGAAGAAAAACAGGACATCGTTTGAATGCTCGTCTAATGGACCTGAGACTGAAGAGATGCCGCGCTTTGTTGAAGCGGTACGCGGGAAAAAAATATCGGGAAATTCTTTTTTCGGATGAAAAAATTTTTACCGTAGAAGAGAGCTACAACATACAAAATGATAAGGTGTATGCACACAGTAGTGAAGAAGCGAGCAACCGTATTCCGCGTGTCCAACGAGGTCATTTTCCATCCTCGCTCATGGTATAGTTGGGAGTTTCTTATTGGGGCTTAACAGAGGTACATTTTTGTGAGAAAGGTGTAAAAACGAATGCAGTTGTGTATCAAAATACAGTCCTGACGAACCTTGTGGAACCTGTTCCTCATACCATGTTCAATAACAGGCACTGGGTATTCCAACAAGATTCGGCGCCAGTCCATAGAGCGAAGAGCACACAAGACTGGCTGGCGGCGCGTGAAATCGACTTCATCCGGCACAAAGACTGGCCCTCCTCCAGTCCAGATTTGAATCCGTTAGATTACAAGATATGGCAACACTTGGAGGAAAAGGCGTGCTCAAAGCCTCATCCCAATTTGGAGTCACTCAAGACATCCTTGATTAAGGCAGCCGCCGATATTGACATGAACCTCGAAAATAATTATCTGATTTCTTCGACTAGTTGTCTGACTTAATTTGTGTCATCTTTAAATTATGGTTAACTTTTCACATTTGAATAATTAATTTCTTTTACTGGTACAGAAGGTTGCTAATTTTGCTCCGTCTATTTATCAGTTAAATGGCAAATATCATTATAGATCACATGATGCTAAACGGTCACAGGAGCTCATAGAGCCACTTGTTCATTCATGATCACAAAAAATGTTCCAACTTAAAAAAAAAACAAAGTTTGCTAAAATCGCTTATTGAATTTTAATTTTAAATTCGAAATAGAATTAATGCAATTAAATTATTTCCCGGACGTTAAAACACATTTGCATGAATAATGGATAACAAATAACAATCAGAACTCACTGGAGTTCCTCTCGGAAACTGTTCGAGTCTCGTTTATTATGTGCAATTTCTTACCGATTTGAGCCAATTAAGCATTTCCAGAGATAAATATTTCATACCTTAAGTTTTTGATAGAAAGTCACTTAACCGTATTTCAAAAGCACCATGAAATTTTCCTTGAAAATTGGCTTTAGAATGAGTATTCTAGGAAAATTTCTGCTGCCATGGAAGCCGTAAGCATTTTCAAACTTCTCTATCTGTAAAATGAGTTGGTAATTCGTTCTGAACGTTGCAATACAATGTGTCCGTCACCATGAAATTTTCCTTGAAAATTGGCTTTAGAATGAGTATTCTAGGGAAATTTCTGCTGCCATGGAAGCCGTAAGCATTTTGAAATTTCTCTATCTGTAAAATGAGTTGGTAATTCGTTCTGATTCGTTCGTTGCAATACAATGTGTCCGTGTACCAGTGTCGGAGACTTATGGGGTATAAAATATGGGGATTTTTATCGACAAATCACTATCCCAATTTTCTCTTGGCCATTTCATACCAGAATGGTAGTAGCCATTTTGTTTTTTTACTTCGCAGCTCAGGCGGCTGCACTGATTTAATCATTGCTATCGATGTAGACGTCTTAGGAAGACGAAAGAGGTGTCATTTGAAAGCTAATAATATAGACAATCAATTTATGATACATTTTATTCAATATCTTTTTCACAAAATAACAAAAAAAGTATTAATTAAATAGTTAGCAAGCGTCCCACCTCGTCCAATCCATGTTGGTTATGTGTGGAAGGGCCAAGAGAAAATTGGGATTGTAATTTGTCGTTAAAAACCCCCATATTTCACCCCCCTTTAGTCTCCGACATTGGTGTACGGACACATTTTATATGTTGTAAACGTGGTCACGGTCATTAATTTTCTTATGGTATTTCGCATAATCTCGTATCGTAGAAGTCGTCGTGTCCTAAAAGACAAGATGCCCGGTGCATTCGTATCTGGTGGCTATCAAATTTATGTGTATTATCTATGGGTGGCTATTTCGCATAAGCGGCGCCACATGATAACCCTCCTATCATGGCCGCCGGAAACTATATACTTGACCCAGGCGACCAAACGGCAAACAGTCGCCGTCGCCTAAACCTGTCATTTCGGATTATTTCTGCCGTGAAGCAGTAATACCTTTCGGTTTGTAGTTTGAGGCAGCCGTTGAACTGTAAAAACTAAGACCTAGAACTCATGTCTCAGGGTAGGTGGGCTGCATTTTCATTGTTGATGTCTATGGGCTCTGAGTAGACCGGCAATAAAAAATAAAAACTTGTTTTTTTTTGGTGGCAACAATCCTAGACAAATATTGAATTGGATAACTTTTCGGATTTCAATGAATTTTGTTCTCTCTCTAGTATGTAATATAGTTTTCGTCTATATTTGAAACCAAACAATCGCGGATAAAGTCTGATTCAAAATTAGTTGGATGTTCGAAAATAGTTGAGGCCGCAATTAATCGGTATTAATTTTCATCATCGCTCAAAATATAGTATGCCCACTTCGAATGCCGAAATTCAAATGAATTTTAACAGTTTAAATATTTCGATTATCGAGAAATCAGATCTCAGATTCAATTTACATTACAGTGCATTGCTGAGCTAACCAAACCTTAACAAATTTAGTTGGAATTTATTCTATTTGAACGATCCCGGTTAATCTAGTTAGGAGCCCTTTAATATTTCACGTAAACTGAAATGATCGAATTATTCTGTTTTATGTAAGATTTATATTGTACTAGCGGTACTCGCCCGCTTCGCTGGGCATTTAAAATTAACATTGTTATTTATTGTCACTATTATTAGGGAGTCCAACATTCATATAAATATTAGCCTATCCATTAAGTACATGTATTTTCTACATGCATACCAAGTTTCAAGTCAATCGGATGCATGGTTCAGTAGTTATAATGGAACATCCGTAAAAACCACTGTAGATTTATATGTATATTTATGTATTGTATATATTTATTGCTCAGAGGGGTGGACAAGCTCAGAGCCCACCTGGTATTAAGTGGTTACTGGAGCCCATAGACATCCACAACGTAAATGCGCCACCCACCTTTAGATATAAGTTCTAAGGTCTCAAGTATAGTTACAACGGCTGCCCCACCCTTTAAACCGAAACGCATGACTGCTTCACGGCAGAAATAAGCAGGGTGATGGGACCTACCGGTGCAGACTCACAAGAGGTCCTACCGTCAGTAATTACGCAAATTATAATTTTACGGGTTTGATTTTTATTACACGATGTTATTCCTTCACCGTGGAAGTCAATCGTAAACATTTGTTGAGTACTTATTTCATTAGAAAAATTGGTACCCGCTTGGGATTCGAACATCGGTGCATCGCTCAGCACGAATGCACCGGACGTCTTATCTTTTAGGCCACGACGACTTCAAATTATATTATTAGTATATTATTAGTGTAGATTACATATTGACTTTTGTTCACAGTTTCAAGCGGCTTTGCTGCAGCGATGGTTGCTTCCACACTTTATGTGTGCGTTCTGTCCGTTCGTCCAAGCACTAAGCGTGAATGTCAGCGTATTTACGCTAACGGCAATAGCTGTTGACAGACACCGGGCTATTATCACACCTCTCAGGTAATTCAATATTATTGTATTGTACGAGGTTGACCAGACACGAATACCAAAAATTTCTAAGCAAAATAAACCTTTTTTTTTTTTAATTAATCAGGGATTTTGTCATTAAACCAACATCAAAGAAACGTGTTTTAATTACAAGTGAACAACATCAAATGACTTTCTGTAAAACAAGGTACTCGTATATAAAATATTAAGCTGATATAAGTGTTTATCAGACTGTCAAAATGAACGAAACAAGCACGAGAAACGATATCTCTAAAATATTGAGGGATCCAAGCATTTTAATTAAGGTTGATATTAAAGATAAAATCATTCTCAGAATATTAAAAAATTCATTATGTTTTTGTTCAAATAATAAGTTAAAAAGGTTTTATCGTACTAGTTGAAAAAAACATTTTAGTTAACTTATTTTTCAATTTTGGAATACGTTGATACTGATATATAGCTATGTAGTTTATTTTGTAGTGACAGTATTTAAATAAATTTATGTGTTTAAATAATTTATTCAGCCTACAAGAGTTGAAGAGATTTTTTTTCTTTGAAAAAATATGTAAATACAAATTTGAAACGTTGCAAATTATTTCATTACTACTGGACGGATAAAGATAAATGCCAGTAGTTCAAAATGATATATCTATAAAATATATAAGTCATACAAATCACTGGTGGTAGGACCTCTTGTGAGTCCGCACGGGTAGGTACCACCGCCCCGCCTATTTCTGCCGTGAAGCAGTAATGCGTTTCGGTTTGAAGGGTGGGGCAGCCGTTGTAACTATACTGAGACCTTAGAACTATATCTCAAGGTGTGTGGCGCATTTACATTGTGGATGTCTATGGGCTCCAGTAACCACTTAACACCAGGTGGGCTGTGAGCTCGTCCACACATCTAAGCAATAAAAAAAATTAAAAAAAAATCACGTGTTGAGCTTAAAAACCAAAACATTGTTGTTTGTACACGCATGTCATTCACGATGTAAATATAGCCTTAAATATACATATATATATATCTATATATTAAATAGCATCCCTGAGTGCTCACGCCACACGAATATCCTTAAGTAACAATAATGACTTCCAGAACAGAGGAAACGCCGTGGAATGTGCCTAGTTTATACCTTAGCAGCATGTACATGTGAGATCTCTAGGCAACGAGTGAACTAAATACCTTATAAACATTACAATAATAAGATACTTAAAGTGTCTGCGTGAAGTACGGTAATATTTTAACGAAGCTGTGAGATAGCTTCTGAGAGCGTTCAGCGCTAAGCTTGTTTTGTCGAAGCTTATCGTCGAAATGTAAATTGTGTTTATATTTAGGACCACGAGAAACATGGATACACATAAATGTAATTCATTTCTTAATTTTTTAACGTTGTTTTTAATAAGGGTTCATCAACACTTAATTTTATACATGTTAAATTTAAGCTTGAATGTTTTGTGTGTATTGCTGTTGGTGTGTCTAAATAAATAAATAAAATAAAACACACAGAAACGTCAGTAGGTATGTGGAATATGCTTAAAAGTAAGCAAAAATATTTATTGTTAGCTTTTATTAACACTAAATATTATTAGTGACTGTGCGGATTTTAACAAATGTACTTGATTTTTTTTTCATAAAATAATTATCTTAATATGCAAAGCAACACAAAGACATGACGAATTCCAGTCAAAAAAAGTTATAGAAATAATTTCTAGTGTTTACAGGAGCATCGCGTACTCTTACAGCAAGTAACAGAAAAATAAACTCATTATGTATTCAAAATCTTAATTTAAATTTCTGAGAAGGCAGAAATATGCTTTCAAGCCGTCCCAGCAAATGAACAAAGCATTGTCTTATTCCATTGTGTTTCTTGTAAGCCATCAGCCGCTTAAATTTGAAATTCAATAAAGCACCCTATTATGAAATTAATTATAACAAATTGTNTACTCTTACAGCAAGTAACAGAAAAATAAACTCATTATGTATTCAAAATCTTAATTTAAATTTCTGAGAAGGCAGAAATATGCTTTCAAGCCGTCCCAGCAAATGAACAAAGCATTGTCTTATTCCATTGTGTTTCTTGTAAGCCATCAGCCGCTTAAATTTGAAATTCAATAAAGCACCCTATTATGAAATTAATTATAACAAATTGTGCTCGTTATCCAATTTCGTTGAATTTACGTGTTACCATTTCTTATAACCGCTTGTAATTGAAACTGTTTGGCTGTTTAAAGCATTAAATACACGATGACCTAAAGCACTCCCTAGCCAAATTATTTTTTAAACGTTGAGTGATTTAGGAATACGATTCCTATTCACGCTGTTTTCTGAGCGCGATGACATGTCCTTCTTCAAAAGCGTTACGCGAAAGCAATAAGCAGATAGTGACTCAGGTATGCTCATGTAATTATTGATGTCCAGAAGTATCTATGACCATATACAGTGATCGGTATACTAATTAGCCTTGTTATGCCGACATTATATATTCTACATTATTTATAATCCTTTTACGGTTTAATCTCGCGTGTACTATTTTCAGTTTATCATTTCCGACGTTTACCTAATTTGATGGTGGTGTACACAATTTAAAAATTAAGACGATTAACACTTAGTCGTTTGTGACCAAGAAAACTGTAATGAACTCGAGAGGTCCGTAATAATAAAAACGAGATTAAGCCGTAAATGTACTTTTAATAATGAATACGAATCGCGACAACTGAATAAAATATTATTGTACATGTCTAATTTATACCTGTACCTAAAAAAAATTTTTAAAAATCTATGTAACTGCTTCGAAAACCAAGTACGTGTGTTTCAGAAGAAATCGGTGGTAATTCATCAATTTACGATATTTTTAATCTATTGTTATAAACTTATCGATGTGCCAATTGGTTCGATAAGTATTTTATCTTATCTTATACCTTTAAACGAGCAATTCTTGTATATTAATATATATATAATCTGAATCTCGGAAACGGCTCCAACGATTTTCATAAAATTTAGTATACAGGGGATTTCGGGGGCGAGAAATCGATCTAGCTACGTTTTATTTTCAGAAAATGTTGTTTTATTCGTGTTTTCAATAATCAACTCTTCCCGACATCTATTGGCGAATCTTAATACTATTTTTCTTAATTGAGGGCAACTAACCAAGCTGGCGTTATCAAAAAAAAAAACAGAGCAAAGCTCGGTCATCATCTATTATAGTAATATTCGTTATGATGATAGGCCTTTTCAAAGCCACGTACATACATGAATTGATTAACTGTTAAAATAATGAATGTTAGTTCAGAATTAGATTACTTGAAGAACGAGAGGGGTTGTTTCAATCAAATGGATTTCCATATTAATACCGACCGGCAACTCAAAGGAGGGTAAGGCCGCAACCTTTCGATCGATGTATCATATAGAATGTTACTTAAGATAATATAAGGATGTAACAATATTTGTTTTGACATCAATTGATAAACTTTTCAAAGTTCATCTAATGATAAACACAAAGACAAGACATCTTGTGGCAGTTGAAAAAAATAGTTTTAACACCCCTGAATCAGTCAAGGGTTGATTGAGCGAATAGTATAGGAGCGTGGGCTACACTAAAATATCTTCCGGAACTGAGAACCCTAACCTTCGATAATTCCGCGAAGGGCTGTGGGAGAAACTATCGCAATCTTTCGTGGTCCTCCGGGATGTGAGGTTTATTCTTCGGTAAACACGATCGAATGCCTTCCTGACCTTTCCACATTTTACGTAGTTTAAATGATAAGATATAAAAGATAAATCCACTACTATCATAATATAACAAGACTTTGACCTCATGTGTAAGGTGAATGATACTCTCATTTTTATTTCAAGTAAAAAGTAAACAAGCTTTAGGAAAATTTTAAGCCTTTTCTTAAACAAACCGACAATTTGGAACAACAAACGTTTTTAACGATCAAGAAACAACATTAAAACTTAAATTGGTCTATACTATAATCAATAAATACCGCAGTCTGCGGATTAGGTATGTGTAACTTGATTTCTAAGAATTGTAAATAAAAATTTTTTTCACGCATCAAATTGGAGACATTAACGATTTTTGATATCAATTACATTCATATATCAAACACTTTAATTTTTTTTTTAAGGAATTGCGAAGGACTCAGCCATAGTAAGGCTTGTACTATGATTCTACAATACAATTTATTGTAGATATTTCGGTTGACTAAGAAAATAAGAGCTGTGAATAGTGTGAGCTAGTGAATAATATTTGCGAGCGCCGCGTGTTAGATGTGATCTAAAAATGTGTATGGTTATAACGCTTAAATGTATTTCATTACATTTACTTGAAATTTCATACATTTTACGTAAATAATCAAAAAAACCGCTGTGAATACCGCCATAATCATTATATTGTTGATATTTATAAATAATGATAGAGAATACTCTAAAATGAATTAAGATTAAAAGACTTATTGCATTTTCTGTAATTTAATAAGAGAACAACATTTAAGCCCTTAATCTCTTTTTAAACTAATATTTTAAACAGCATTATTATAGGATGCAAAACTGAACTACTCTACACTGAATGACAGACAGGTGAGCGATTCTGTCCAAGAAAAAATTTTTTTTTTTAAACTAAAGTCTTAATGGTTTTTCTTTACATATATATGTATTACATATATATTATTGTTTCAATCTATAATTACACCGCGGCAATTTCTCTTCTGAAATGATTCTTGCCCCTCTGATGGCTGTCTGCGATTGATCGCTGTTAGCGACAAGACCACCCATTGTACTTTTGTATTTAATTAAATGCAAAAATTTGTGTTTATTTTGGTGTTTATTAAAGCATACTCTACTCTATTCTACTCTGGCACTCAATTTGAGAGTTAAAGACTTAAACTTAAAGGAATTGAGACCAATAGCTAAAATCTGTCCCGTATTCCAAACTGCGCTCCTAGGCATTTCGTCGTCATGGCAGAAACGGGCAGAGTAGGATTAACCATAGCGCACAAGATGACCTGCCGCCAAT